GTTAAAATACATAAAAAAAAAGCACCTTGTTTTTCCCCTATTGATTATTTTCCCCTTTTACACCAGCCTTTTCCCTACCCTTCCATACCTTCGAGATTCCTGTGTGCCCTTTCCTTACAGAGCCAAGTGGTTGAAAGCAGAGACAGACTGAGTCGGAATTATTTAATACAAACTATCTCTGCTCGCGGTGAAACTCGCCTTATCTTGACTTTGATCTTTTTCAAGTAACAACTTCATGTAGTAAATAAATAAAAATAAAATAAAATAAAAAAAAAAAAGGGAGAAGAAGAAAAATGATATATAAAAGAAATTATGAAGAAGAAAAACTTGTCAATCCAGGCATTACATAATCATTCAGGTTACGTAAGTGCATAAAACGAGTGAAAATTTCCTTTTCAGGCAATGCTCGCGTTTATACAGCTAGTTATGCGCACATTTAGCTTTTTATGCACTGGGCAATAACACTTTTAGCGCCTCCAAAACACGGAGAACTTTTTAAACACATTTGAAACGCCAAACATCAGACGGAAGGGAAAGCAAAAAAGCAACCTCCTCGCTCTGCCTCGGTTCTCTTATCACCGAAGACGCAGAGACGCCCCATGACTCGCCATGCATGTCTTCACCGGGATGCGCCTTGGCTGCCGGTCGCAATGTCTTTCTTGCTGCAACAAGGAGCAAATTAAGAAATCCCAAGCGTCCTGTGGAGAAAGACAGCAGGCGTCCTCCATAAAGTCACTCCACCCTCCATCGTCATAGCCGGCGCAAGACTCGTGAGATACTGGCCTCTCATTCGTGGCTGATCATGTTACTAAGAAAGGAATAAACCTCCCAGATCGCTGAAGGAACGCCGCGGCGACATGATGAAGTACCATAAGTACTACAGCGGCACGTACTTACGTACACCCGGCCCCAGAATGGCTCTGTTCGAAACGACAATCGCAGGCAGGAACATATGTAGGAGACATCAGCACACCAGGTTCTCATGGACGATCTTATGCCGCACGTCCGCAACTGCCTGCGGCTCGCTCGTCTCACGAGTTCATGGGCATGGGAAAAGGCGGTTATACACCCGAACGAACACCATGAATACTTTTTCTTATATTGGTTGACCAGATTATTAAAGGGTCCAGGGAAAGACCCCGGCTCGGCCAAGCGCGTGGCGCCTGGGCAATGTACTGCCAGCCCTGACTCCAACACAGGCTTGAGCGAGCTTTGTCTCTCTCATCCTGCATGGCTGTGCATTCAGGATGAGCTGGTATCCTTAAGTTCTTCGTACATTGAAGCTGTTGTTCATGTAGCCTGATAATGTCGGCCTTTGATAGTCAATGCTATACGGGTGCCCAGGAACCCTTGACGCCTTGGTATCTGTCACCGAAGCCCTCTCCTCTCAAGGTGTGTGGGCTCCCCGCTGACCCCCTTATGTTCCAGACGCTGATCCGCTTGGCAACGCTGGTTAGAAGTGGAATTACTGGGTGACAAGCAGGAAAAGCAGGGGAAATAAGCCCCCAGGAATACGGTAACACCCCCCTTTGCAGCGGAGCGTCTCCTGCCTCGGGGAGCAAAGTGGTTCAACTCAAATCACAATTCGCTATCTCTGCCTCCGCTCGCTGCATGCATTAATATACAAAGGACTTGACTCCCTTCTTCCGTTCACTCGTTGTCTGTCAAAAAACCACCGGCCCAATCTAACCCACCATTTGATATTTATCGGCGTTGTTATTCTGGTTCCGGACTTCTGGGCCAGCGAAATTTCAGGTTTTTCCTTAATATATATATAATTTTTTTTCTTCCGCTCGTTCCATCCCAGACATTTTCTTTCCCAGTTATATCGCAAACTTGCGTACGATTCCTTCAAATCCTCCTGGCGAGAAGATAAAGAATCCGGTCAATTCACGCTGACTGGACCTCGATATGTGCATATCTGGCCAGGGGGATCTTGGGACCGTTTGACTACAAGAACAGTTCTAAAAAACCATGTTTCCGTTCTCCTTGATTCTGTCTCTCTGGCGATCTATGGTAACCAGTGGTGAATCTGGTCCTCCCACCAGAGACAATGGCCGGAATGTGAAGTGGTTAGACGTGAGTGTACCCCGACCCCGACTTCGAAGGTACGCACTTCCAGAATACTTATAGTTGTTGGTTTTATAGGGCCTGCGCGGAATCGCATCGTTTCTCGTCATTCTCACCCACCTGGCACGAGCGTGGGATTATGAGCTCTTCAGCGCTGGACCCGCTGAGGGAACCCCCCGACTGCTACAGCAGCCCGTTCTCCGAATTCCGTGGCAGGGACGAATCGGCGTTACCATATTTGCATTTTTGACCGGATATGTTTGCGCCCTAAAACCACTGAGGCTTTCTGGTTCCGGAAACTATAACGCTTCATTCTCTTCTATCGCAAAGAGCGCATTTCGCCGTCCCCCGCGGTTGATCCTCCCCGCCACGATCGCATTGTTATTTGCATGGACAGTCGCTCAGTTTGGTGCTTTCAAGGTAGCTACAAGGTCGGACGTGGACTGGTTCAGAGCAGCGAGCGTCAAGGTCGACCCTTCATGGCTCAAGGAAATCAGCCGCCTGTTCTTTACTATACTATCGACGTGGACCATCGGACGTAACGACTATGACGACCATCAGTGGGCCCTGAGGCCACTACTGCTGGCCTCGATGTTAGTCTATATTCTACTCGTTGCGACTATGTATGTCAAGTATCACTACCGCTTGGCTATATACGTTGTGATGATTCTCTATTTCCATCAGGATGCTTCTCCTAATACCGGTATGTCGTTTACAAATAGCCAATCGGCCATTGATATATATCCTGCTAACGACGGAGTATTTCCTACCACAGAAACTTTCGGTCAGCAAGCATGCTACGGTATGATGCTGAGTGACATTGCTAGCAACCATCCGGAAAATTCTTATATCTCCTCTCGTCCGTGGCTCCGCCGCGCAATAGGCTGGATCGCTATCGCACTTGGGCTATGGTCGGCCTCTTATCCCGAACATGACGTCGATAGATGCGGCTGGTCCAACATTCTTCTCGAGTCATCTAAATACATGTTCCCACCAAACGTCAATCTTGGAAAACGCTTCACAGCCCTTGGAGTCGACCTCATTATTCTCGGCATATTCCTTTCTCCTTCTATCAAAAATGTGCTCTCCAACAGCTTCTTCCTATGGTTTGGCCGAAACAGCTTTGCTGTCTACCTTACCCATGGCACTCTGCTGAAGACGGTCCTAACCTATATGGTTTACGGCAACATCACCGGGGAACCATGGGTTGTCACCAAGAATGAAAACGGAGAAGACGTACTGCCGCCATGGTTCACTCGGGGATCTCCCGGGGTATTCGCCATTTGTATACCGATTTGGCTGGTGATAGTGTACACTGTTGCTCACTTCTGGACGACATACGTCGACTCCTTCTGTGCACGAGTCACTCAGCGCCTCGAAAGCCTTGCCTTTGAGTCCGACAATGAAAAAACCCAACTCCCTAGGTGATGGGAATTATGAAAGCATAAGTGTGTGTGACTTTTCTACATTTAGATATATACCCTTGTTCATTTAGTTGTCTCTTCTCTTTCGTCGTGCTTCTTTAAGTGTCGAGCATTTGACTAGCCATCCGTTTCTTTCTTTCTTTCTTTTTTTTTGGTCGATATTTCCTAGAGTTAGATCTGAAAGAGATGAGCATATCTGATGTATTATATACATCCCCCCTACCTTGACTGGCTTATATATGTGTTTCCATACTAGCGTTATCATATCGCCCTTCCATTACTGGGAGTTTTTGGACATATCACCTTTTGGAGAGATATAGCAGGTATCTAACATATGTGTTATTTCACTCATGCTATGCACTATCTACGTAGATACAAAGTAGTCGTCAGAGCTATCGCAATTGACCGAAATTCGCAAAAACATGAAAACAAGAAACAACAGACATTCGTTAAATCGTAAACTGCTCTTGTCACGTTGATTTTTTTTTTTCTTTTCTGTTTTTTCGAGTCGTCATCATCGTAATATCATTCTGTCGTCAGTTATTTTCTCCCCCATAATTCCTCAAGCTCCTCAGTATCCCTTCCGATCAGTTTGAGGGCTTCATTTTCTACCTGCTCGGCAGAGAAACTCTCATCTCGTTTGCCGAGAGCAGCCTCGGCCCTCTCTTGCTCAAGCTCAACTATGCAAAGCATTAGTAACATGGTCCCTTCGTAGTATTTATCTTCAATGTCGGAATCAACTCACCATGTAGCGCAACTGCAGCTCGTTTACCACTGAACATGGCATGGTTGCCGTTGGTGCTGCCATCGTTGTTGGCGTCTCCAACAACAAATACACCATGAACAGACGCCCGCATCCCCTTAAAGTTAACCTTGATCTTGTTCTTGTGAAACGGATCTCGTGCCAGTCCTAACTGGTCGGGAAGGTCGGAATGCTGTTCAGTCGGGAAATTTGTGATAAATACGGATCTCTCAACACTGGTACCGTCGTTGAAATTGACCCTGAATTTATCATATTCCTGCCAGGTCTTCTTGTCCTGATGTTTGGAGCCATCCTGAAGACGGTCAATGGAGCTGACCATTTTGTTGTTAATCTGGACATTGTAATGCTTTAGCTGTTTTCTCCAATGGGGGTATTTCCTGTCGAGGTACAAGATGTCTTCAATGCTGTGCTCGGTTCCGTTCACGAATGCAATGATGTCTTTGTTCAGGGTTTCGAGTTCGTAAACGCTGTCCATAACATGTCGGAGTGGCCCCAAGATGCCAAGCGGCTGGTCACGGTGTTCCCAGCCATCGCACCATGGGCACCAATAGATTCCCTTGCCGAAGTTCTCCTGAAGTCCAGGTGTACCGGGGAGAACATCTAATACACCAGTACCAAGCACGATTTTGCTGGCTGTGTACATCGCACCAGTTTTGTCGGTGACCTGGAAGAAGTATTTTCTTCCTCCATGTTCGAAAACCTTCTTGATCTTGGTCACCTTGACATCCTTGATGGAGGTAGACGTGTATCGGCTGATCTGCTGTCTAGCCTTTGCGCGGAATACTTTTGGTTCGACTCCTGTGCATCTAGTTAGAACATTTGCATGGTCATAAGAATAGTGTTTCAACTTAGGATATAAACGTACCATCATTGGTAAGCATATCATGTATATGCCGAGTGGCACCATTGCGGTAAATGCCCTCGTCAAAGAGCAGGACATGGCGACGAACTCGGCCAAGGGAGCTGAGGGCACTGAGGCCGGACGGTCCGCCGCCAACAACAATGGCATCGTAGCGATGTTCTGGCCCTAGCGGAGGTTGTTCAATGACGATAGGGGCTGCAATGACAGAAGTGAGAGCAGAAGTAAATGCAATAAGGGCGAGGGCAAGACGTTGGACACCCATCTTGACGGGTTATCTCAAGCTCTGAGAGGAACTGGATATTGACAGAACGTTGATGTCTTCTTTCTTCTCATCGTCCTCGAGGGAGCTGTCGAGCAGACATTTATATCTCTCTTCAGGCATCGTAACTGTATTCGGCTAAAGGGAAGCCGGAGCACTTTCATCCTCATAGCTACATGCCTTTTTCCTTTCTGATGAGCTCCGGAGAGCAAATCACAGTTGTGATGGCAACTTCGAGCCTTCGGTAGCAGCACAGGTGGGATCTGAGCAGCTCCGTCTACCCATGAACAACGATGGGCCACCCTATCCTAGCGGTAGCCCTGCTATAGTTCGTCTGCATGAAATAATGCGGCAAACAGGACATAGAAGAGCAGAAGACTAAACAAAGTACTCAGTCACTGGGGCGGCCAAAGACATCGTAACACGAGCGTCGCCTCCGAGTTCAATTGAGTTGAAATTGAAAGATGTCCACTCAACTAGTTACTGGCGGGTTTTCAGCAGCATGCAACGCCGCTGTTAGCGTTACAATTTCCATCGTACGACGGAATGAGGCCAAAAGAAGGCTAGAACCAAAGAAAACTTTTCTAGTCGATCGTCTTCCGTGGGAGTATGGGGTATCAAGCAAGCAATCGCTGTATGCGAAGCTTCTGCAATGGTCCAAAGGAGGAGAGCAAAAGAACACCCAGGACAGTAACCGGCTCCAATCGGGACACAGACTGTACTGGCCAGTTATGGAACAGACATCAGCCATTTTCCAGTCATGCTCAACTTTCCAGCGGAGCAACGATTAATAGTGGCTGGATGTGCTGGGGCAGCTAAAAAAGCCTGCTATGACCATAGTTAGCTTGCAGGACTATTGAGCGTGTGGTGGATACACAGCAGATAGTTAGCCACATGATAGCTCGGTAGCTAGCTAGCCAACCACCCGACTTTGCCTAAACTAACAACGAGCAACTTAGCCCGTTAACCTAAGGCCGGAGGCGATTTGAGCGGATAACTCTTAACACCGCAGTTAGGTGGGAAAGCGAGGGCTGCGATTTGCTCGGTCTCTCCGGATAACACCTCCGGGCGGATTCTCATCATTGAATTCTTCTCTCTTATCGTCATCATTATTTCTTAATATAAACAAAAATAGATATACACCGTCCATGGACAGACAACCAAGTCCACTATATGCAGCCAATTTTTCCCTGGCAAACCCGAATAACTCCCAAAATTCTCCGTATGCAAGGACTCCATACTTCAAAAACGCTCCAATCGAAGGTGAAATAACAAGGAAAAAAGACCCTCCCGCGCTGAACCCCGTGGCCAGCATATTCGAAATCAAACTGGAACCTCCTCTATCTTCTCGGATTTTGATTTTTGGGTATTTTCGTTAGAATTCGATGTCATAGCACTGTTTTCAAACGTCACCGAGCGTGAAGATCTCCGGTCCGGCTCTAGACTTTCGATTTTGACATGCACCTCGCTGACCTTGACAATGGCGTCTCTCTGGCCATCTGTACCCTGGACAATGGCCTCTTGACTCTCGGTAGTTGTCTGCTGCTCAACGCCACTGTGATAGGAATTGAGAGGATAACAACGGGTCTTCATATTTGGGTTCACTCCATATATCGTTGTCCCTTCTTCCTTGGTGCCATACAAACTGGTGTCAGTTGCCCAATATGGACGTGGCTTTCTTTTCGTTGCAGGCTTTCGTAACATGCTACGGGGCCATGACGTTGACCCTGATGACCCGGTTGCTCTGGAGGTGGCCTCCCTGAGGATGAGTTTTACGAGTGGACCCAACATTGGGATACAGGCAGCAATCATGATCAGATATTGCTCAATGCATAACCAGAAAACGAGGTCAATCGTGTTCCACGAGTAGTCTGCTCGGGCAGAGAGGCGCGAAAGAAATATGGTCTTGACGACAGAAGCACCCACCGCTCTAAACAGAAGAACAATGATGGTGAGCGTCACTGAAAAGGGGAAGAAATAAAAACGACACAGATGAAGTCTATACTTACACGAATCCAAGGGCAAAGATGGCTGCCAGGCCAAGTTTCACACGAAACGGCATTTGCAGTTTCGATATCAACCGCATGGGATAAATAGCCAGTGCAAGATCTGACGCGGCCGAAACGGCTGTGGAGAATGAACTTCGGTTAGCAATCTGAAAGCTCTGACATCCAAAAACAGTACATGCGAGCCAGACTAACCTCCGGTAAAAAACGCAAAATCTCTTTGGATTCGAGGATTCCAGCATTTTCCTTTGATGCTGTGATCCCATAATGACTCCACAGGCATGCATTGGCCATAGATGGTGAAGATACAGACGAAGTTAACGACGGATAAAAATACCATGCCGCCGTAGAAATAAGGCGCTTGTCGAGTTGCATGGCCAATAATGCGCAGGAGGAATAACATGATAGATACTTTGGCCCAGTTCGTGGAAGCAACGTGGAACCCTTGAGAGATCCAATTGTATTTATCTGCTTGCATTGCTTCCTCCTTGGTGAGATAAAATTGATGTCGCCCAGTGCCATGGGCTATGCTGGTGGTAACCATCGCAGCGTTGACCACAGCGCAAGCCTAGATGAGAGAAAGAAACACCGTGTTAGATTCACACTCTCCTAGGATGACGGGACAATATAATTACCAGGGCAAGTATAATGAATCCGTCGTCCCAGCCAAACGCTCGCACGACTTTGACACGGGTCCATATTCTAGCTATGACAAGCAGAAGAGATATGCTGAATCCAGTCCAGGTTAGAATGATGATAATATGGCCTTTGTTAACATCGCCATCTGGAGGCTCCTCTGGTAGTATCATGTTGCTGTATGCTTGTCAATATTACCCTGAGGACAGCTGGCCTCTCCAGCAAATAGACCCTAAGCAAATCCGTTAAGAACACAGTGGAACACCTTCATCAATAGCAATGGCGGTTAAAGGGATGAAAAGGAAGGTTGAGTCCGTCTCCATGATGGGGGCAACGGAGCAACGGAACCGTCTTATATGAAAGTGGAGGATCGTCGTCCTGGCTCGTGGTAATTTTTTTTCTGCAAGGCGTTTGCCACTAAGAAGCAGACCCTGGGATTTATGCTGGTATGATCGTATTTTCTCTCCTGTTGGCAGGGTATAGTCTTGGATCAGCGCTATACCCAGACGGTGAAGATCATTCTCGATCTTCCCAAGACATATACAGACCAAATAATATCCTCATATTCTGAAGCGCCTGGTGACTAGATAACGGGTCCTGTTGGCGCCACTGCAATAGCGGGTAGTCTGTGACTATTTTCCCCTCCTTTCATCTGATGTGACGCCTCGTAAGCCGTAGATCTCAGATTCATGGTTCGTGGGAAAGCTTGTCAGGGGATATTTGACGGCTCGGGACGAAATAAATTTACTCCGTTCCAGACTGAGGAGGCCGTTCATGCATTAGCACGTCTATTGGAGGCATGTTGCTCCAATATCCAGATGCCAGGGTCTTAGCATCCTATCGGAATGCGCTAAAAACGCCAGAATGAATGATGAGCCACCTTCTATTAGGAAAATCCCGTCCATCAACCATATTATGGACCTCGTGTTACATGACAAGAGGCAGAAAGATCTCTGTTTTGTGCATGTGGATATGCTTGTCACGCATTTTTAATCGGTCTCTGCTCTGAAGGAACAGGCGTGGAGATCCAGCGGCCCGCCAGACTGGCGCAAGAAGCAACTCCAAAGCGCCATGTCGCTTGAAACATTAATAATATTCTGGAATATATAATGTAGCCACCAGGGTCTATCGAGTGACACATTAAAATGTCCAGGGTAAAATGTCCACGGGTGAATAACAACCACAGAAACTAGACGGGACGTTGCTTTTTTCCTATTTGAGAGCAAAAGACGAAGCGATTACAGTAACACGTGATGAACACTTTAGGTTGCTTAGGTTAGGTAGGTCCCCCAAGGCTCCAAAACTGCCCAGTCCCTCACTGGTACGCTGGAAAAAGCCGAGCGGTCTCAAAGGCCAACTATCGCAAGGTCCAAGGTCTGTGAGTCAATGTTTGGCGTCGGTGTGAGTAGTGAGCCGTGCATACATGGGTACCTCGGCAGTATCAGGCTAAGTATGGGTAGTAAAAATCCATTAACTTGAGCCGGGATATTTCTGCTGAAGGGACACGGCACACGGCACACGGGTATCGCACACAGAATAAGTATAGCCAAAAGGCAAATTATCAGTTAAAAAGCATATCAGAGGACTGGAACAAGCTCTGAATTAGATAGCAGTATCTTATTATTAAAAAGTAACACCCATCCAGAAAAGAAAAAGGGAAATTCTGTTTCTTCAGCCGGGGGGGAAGAGGGAGAGCCATGGTTCTGTAGCCTTGTGGCTAGCTAGTCTGGGAAAAAACATTCAGAGTTTTCATTCAGGGTAAGAAAATACCCCTGCAGCAACTGCAACTCGGTCAATTGAATGATAAATGCGCCCGACTGGACCGGATCGCTTGCCCCCCCGCCAATTAACCATCAACCCCGGACGGCTCAGCCGGGCCAAGGGAACAAGGGTAGCTCGGCTTCTGTGGGGGTAGGACAGGGTAAATAAAAAGCACGAGAGACGGGAAATCACAAAGGAAAAGGTTGATAAACAGAAAACAAACAGAAGCCACAAAGTCGTAAAATGTCAAAGAGAGGGGGAGGGGGGGATGAAGGCTGAAATAGTATATAAACGCCGTGTGCACCTTCGCCAAACTTCCTCAAGGTAGTCGTACAAGCCATAGGGGGAAAATAAAAGGAAATAGTATACAAAAGAGGAAAAGGATAAGGTCAAGCAAGGTGTGATCTTGACCAGCAAGAAGCTTGGAAAGGTACTCGAAGGTGCATCTGCGGTCGAAGCTTGATCCCTGTAAAAACGAGATATATGCGGTTTTACCACGCCAAGCTGAAGTTCGTGTGGTAGGACTGGGTTGTTGTACATCAGGGTGATGCATGTGGCGTAGGCACTACTTGTGTCACTAGCTGTCATTCGTAATAATATGGCGATGGATGCGGATTATTTTGTGAGGCTATGGTTGAGGCTGATGTCCAACCATCGAAGGCAAAGTGACGGCCGTGTAGGTTCGTCGTGCATCCCTCTTTTCCTCGAAGGCGTTCGCTGTAATGATGGAATTTATTTCCACTTCACTCCGTCAAAGCCGGAGCGTTTTTTATCACCGCATCCAGCGGGATCCGAGTTATGTATACAGGGTTTTGAAGATCTTTTTGGGCCCGGATTTTGACCTAGTAGATTTCAGAGAATCCATGTTAGTAGGTTGCATAAAATGGTGTGCGGAGACTAATAGCATTGGGGCTCCAATTAACAAAACTAAAAATAGTGCTTAATGCCTACCTTGCCCAGCAGGTGAAGAGTAACCGCTGCTGGAAGAGCTTCCCGTAGAACCCACGGAAACTTGAGATTTGTGAGGCATGTTGAGAGTGTTCCCGAAGCTTTTTGTTTGTAGGGCTGGAGGCTGAAGGCTTGTAAAAAGAGATGAGCTTCCGCTTGTTGTTAAGACGGAAGGTTGATTGCGGTAGAAGATAGAGGAAATGTGTTGTCAAAGAGACGAATAGACAGGAGATTGGGCTTCTATGCAAGCTTGAGATGAGAATGTAGAGGCGTGAGAGATGCGTTGAGAAAAAGGTAAATCGGGAGGAAGATTCTCCAGGTATTTATAATCTGGAGGAAGAGGCTTGAGAAGAAATCGAAGGTCACAAAGCACTCTGGGATTCGATGAATCGACAAGAGGGCGATGACGAGAGCAGAGCCTCCGGGCCAAAGCCAACCAAGGTATTCTCCCTGGTATGATCTTTTTGCCTTGAAAGGCTGTAAAGATAGAAGTGCCTCGGGGTTGGAACTAGGCAACCAAAGGGACAAGGAGCAGTAAGAGGGTGAATTCTATAGGCACCAGATGAAAGCAGGCAATGAGAGATGTCTTTTTCTTGTTTCTTAGCAGGGTATCTGATGACCTTCTACTATGTGCGTCATGGTAGATGGGCCAGGCAACGACAGGTGAAAATCAAAGGGCGAGAAAAAAAAAAAGTAGCCCAGAGAATTAGGCAGAACTGTCAGCAAGCGGAGAGGAAACGAAGCTCATTCGACGACGAATCGAGTCCTGTGGCTGGCAAGGCAGGAAGGAGATCAGTATCTGAACTGCTTGCTTCCCCAGACGTTGAATTGAAGGTACAAGGAAAATGAGAGGGATCAGGAGGAAAAATGACAGAGAGAAGAGGACGGAGCAACCCCCGGAAAGAAGCAGCCCAGCTAACAGGGGCCACGAACGCCAAAAAACAAAAAAGGGCTTGCAGCACGGTGATGATAGGCCAGGCTAGTCAGTGAGACAGCGTCAATTGAACGTGGTTCAACTCTCTGGCCTCTAGGATCGAAGCTGTTTCGTGGCCGTCCAATTGACGCGCCGTTTTGTCTGGCGTCCGGGGAGAAAGCGATGGGGGGAAAAAGCAAAAGATGATGAAGGCAGCCAGACCAGCTCAAGCCCACCGCAATGCCCAGGGGGTTCAGAAGGGTGATAGGCCGCAGTTGAAGATCCAAGCCAGGGAAACAGAGGACAGGTAACTCCGTAGTTTCAGTCACTCAGGAGGTCCGGCCAGGGCGATCTTCATGCGCGTCGGAACCTCAGCAGGCAGCAGCAGGCAGCAACAGGCGAATTGGCTCAATATCCCAGTAAACAAGAGCAGGCAGCAGCGCGTCGCGAGGTCGTCCAGCATCACCAAGCGTCACAAGCATCGCAAGGGAGGTTGAGGTTGGAAAGTCGGGCGACGGTCGAGGAGGTTGGAATGTTTGGCAGCAACAGCAGAGCTTCCTCTTCGGGCCTAGCGCGCGTCGCCTGCTCTGGCGGATGGCTGGGAGTCGCCCAAAGAGGAAAAGGCGGTGAGGCCAGGCAGAAACCCACGGCCCGAGCCCAGCCTTTCGGCCCAAAGGGGTTTAGCCCCTTTACTGCTGAGTCAGCATGTGAGGCGACCAAAGGCGCTAGCCCCCTTTTGGCGCCCAACATCACGTGAAAAGGGGGCGAAAAAGGGGCGAATAGACTTTCACGTGATATATTTGCCCTGCCTTACCCTTTTGGGCAGAGGTGAGGCCCTGCCGCTGCCCAAGACGAGGAGACGAAGAAACGGAGAGACGAAGAGACGAAGGAAGGGCGCGAGCCACGCCAGGAATAGCTCTGAGGGAAGAGATGAGGCTTCCGTGGCTAGAAGGCGAAGTGCCTCCAATACCTACAGCCACAACCAGAGACGCATGAGAGACCTGAGCCGAGTTGAGGTGGACGACGTCATCGGGAACCTGACAATTGTGACACTTCAGAGGGAAAGGCGAAATGGCCAAAAGGATCGAAAAAGAGCGGTCTACCTGAATGAATGCTATTCATATGGCGAGTATATTCATAGCAACAATTACTAAGTCCCAAGCTGATGATTACAGAGAGCTCAGCCGGTGTCGCTATGCCTGACTCCCCAGCTACTTACAGACCGCAAGTCACTGCGGATGTCTGAAACTCTGACGTGGTCCTGTTGTCATGGGCGGCACCTATATGCAGAACAATTACCATATGAATTTTTTCCGCTGCTTCGGGGATATTTTCAGAGGCTGGACCGAAGCTGCGGTGAAGACATATTCAAGGGCGACTTGAAAACCCAACTGCAAAGTCAAGTCATTTGCCCCCTTCCTCCATCCCCTGGCCCTGTCTATTGATTGCATTCGCCATCTCTGCACTCATATTACGCGCTTCCCCAACACATCGCCTATGGGGAGGTCTGTGAGGCGGATGGCTGGCTCATGGTCACCAACGATCTGCAGGTCCCGGTCGTGAGAAGCGGCTAGCTAGGTAGCTAAGTACCCGCAGTGCATGTACGTACATGTGCAACCATGCTCACATACTGGAGGTAACAGGGCCTTAGTCTGATACTGCCCTAGGTAGGATCTGACATCTCAACAACACACATTTTCCCATATAATATACCCAATTTTTGAAATATATCTCCCACCACAATACCTCTAGCAACATCTAGATAGTATTAGGAGGAATTAAAGGCCCTAGGTAACGTATCCCCCCTCCATTTCAAAATTAATGCCGATTTTTTTAAAAAAATAGCACTCTAAAGAGAGGGTAAATTTTCAAATTTTCTCTTTTTTTATTTTGAAATTGCATTTGTCATAAGATATCCTTCTCTTACTATCTATAGGCCTAGAGAAGCGCCGTGGCGGGATATAAACTTTTAAAATCAGCATTCTCTATGAAAAAAGTATGTTCGTTGAGCCTGTACGGAGTAATGTTCACTGAGATGTCGGACATGCAGGGTCAGACCAAGGCCCGGTTAGTCCCTACTGGGGAGATACTGGCGGTGCGGGAGCTGGCAGGAGAGCGGTGTGAGGCCGTTTGAAATGCAGCAAGACCAGGAGGCCTGGGACGGAACGGGATTTTGATATGTTTACCTCGAAAGCAGCAATAACTACTCCGTAACTACGTAAGCAGGCAACTGACGCCTGCCACGTAAGATTCGTACAGGCATTCATGGTAGACACTTGCCACGTTGTGGTTCACATCAACTTAAAGCGATAAATATTGAATATCGCTGTCATGATGATGTCATTCAGAAGACAATAGTACCTACAACCACGGTCTACCAAAATTGCCAACGGCGAAAAGAAACACTACCAATTGAGAACATAGAGGCTACAGATACCAAAGGAGTTGCTGGTAGCATGTTAAAGATCTCTTGAACCGTCTACTGTGTGCTGAACGCTATCGAGATCAAGACGACAGACAGTGTTGGGTGACAAAACCCTAGGTTTGGATCTCCCGGTTGGATTTGGGTTGAACCACCTACCAATGCACCAAATTGTCTAACTATGGTCCAAACAACTGCAACGACGGCAAATATCATTGACTCTTGAAAATGACATTATTGAATAATTAGACTTCCCAGCTGCCTATTTAAACTGCGAGATTCCGTCATTTTGTGGTCGCGATTTCTCAATCCTTTTCATCTCGATATCAACTGTACCTTCGACTTTTCCACCTGCAACCCCCTAGGTCCTTCTCCCCCGGGATCATTACCTCTTCCGCCTTCCCTCTCCCTTCTTCTCCCCCTTCTTCTCTCCCTTCTTCTCTCCCATCTTCTCTTCCATCTTCTCCCCCATCTTCCCTCTTCCACCTTCACTGTCAGCTCCTCTTTCACCCTCCACCTGTCTTCTATCTCACATCATGGATGAGAACATGATCCAAAACGTGGAGCACGCCATCCCCTGGCTTCTTGAGCCGATCATCTCGCCCAAGAGCATCATCACCGCAGTAACAGTGCTTGCGGCCCTGGTATTCATGCTCGGCTTCCGTAGCGGCATCAACTTTGAAGGGCTCTTTGATACCCTCCACATTTACTGGGTATCCAACAAGATCCGAAAGACAAAAGAGCTCTTTCAAACAAAATCCCAGATCCAGAAACAAACAGACTGGATCGAGGAGTGGGAATACCTGGACGAACAGCGGGAATTCCTGAGGCAGCGGGATTATTTCCTTCGGGAGACATTTCTCGACTACGCTGCCAAAGATAAGCTCGACGAACTTGACGGGCTTGATAACTACGGCCCCAAGCTCTGGGAAGACAAGCTAGCCGACTCAAAAGCGAGGCTGTGGCTTATCGAACAAAAACATGGCGACCTGGCCAAGAGCAGGCCAGAAGGACCCAAGATAAGGAGCTGGGTCATAGAGTCAGACCGCATCAAACGCATGGTATCAAAGATCGGTCTGCCACGATATCTCGCGCAGGAGAAATTCGTCAAGCCATGCAAAGAAAACGATGGCTGCTGCGCGAGGGACTGCGGATGCTGCAGCAAGCCTCGGGACGTCACCCCCAGTGGCGAAGTGTTCTACGCCCACTGCACTTCGCTGTGTCTCTGCTGTATCCGCAGAAGGGGTTTCGTGAGACTGGTTCCGACATGGAGGAACATTCCCGGGTTCGTCAGTCTCACGGGCGAGGATAGGATAGCTCAGGAAGCGAGGAAGTACCTTCCCGAGAATCCAGCAGTCCAGCCGACAGGGGAGGAGAAGAAGAAGGAGACCTCTGCCTACCAGGCACGGGTCCAAGACTTTGGCGAGACCGGCGATGAATCCGTGGACAACAAGCCTCTATAAGACGACGGCTGGTCCGGATGCATTATAATGACTAATGACTGGTTAATGCCTAATGCCATGT